ATAAGTCCTGTCTCAACATCGTCCTCTCACCAACAGTCTTAAATTTCGAGGGCTCCACAGTTATAAAAGCCCCCTCTCCGTTAGCACCCCCATTTGGCTTCAATTTCTTCTTCTGTAGTTGCTTCAAGTGAGCTATGGCATCATGTAATTCAACCCTGTTGGTCATTTTCAACGCTTCCTTCAAAGCCTTCTTAGCTTCCTCAGTCTCCCCAGCTCCCAACAAGGACACGGCCTTGTTCAGCTGTGCCCGCCAATGGTTAGGCCACACTGCCAAAACCCGAGTATACATCTCAGAAGCTCTCTGAAACCTGCCAAGATCCATATACAGCCCACCCAAATTGTACAAAGCATCAACATGACCAGGTTTCAAGTCAATGGCTTTCTGAAACACCTCAATTGCCCTCTCATCCTCGCCCATGGCGTGCAAAGCCGAAGCCAAATCGCAATGCGCATCGGCATAGTCAGGTTTCATAAAAATGGCCTCTTCCAAGGCTTTCACGGCCGCCCTATACTCCCCTACCCCGAAAAGAGCACTACCCAAAAGCTTTAAAGCTCTAAAATGAGTTGGACAAAGAATCGCAGCCTCTCTATAATACTCACAAGCACTTAAAACCATACCTTCGCCTTCAAGAGCAATCCCGAGGTTGACATAAATCTGAGGAAGCAAATACGCCCACTGGTTCCCACCAGTCTCTGCAGCTTCTAGCGCCAACAAAAACTCTTCTTTTGCCTCCTTATACTTGCCCAAAACATACAAGCAATTTCCAGCTCTGAAATGCGGCCTCACATCAATCGGTTGCAGTTCACAAGCTCTCTTGAAACTCACCAGAGCCTCTTTGAACAACTGGTGCTCATACAAAACCCTCCCAATCGCCATGTGCCCGTCGAAAGCCTCTTCTCTTGATCTCGCTCCGTCGGATCGGCTCCTCAAAACCCCCAAATCCTTCACAAAAGCAGCGTAATCGTGACCGGACTCTTCCCAAAACACCCTCTTCTCTGAAATCTCCGATGACGGACCCAACTCCCTCGACCACCCGGCGTCCGAATAGGCGTCAAAGTTGTCAGCTTTCAATTTCCCGTCCCTGGCTTGCTTTGCCTTCAACCTCTTTATCAGAATCTCCAAATCGTCAACGATCTTCCACGTATCGTCGAACACGATCCCGTGGTTCGGCGACACTGCCCAAGCCGCCGTCCTCTGCTTCTTCTGCGACTCCATCGCTCGCTCGTCCACTATCGTCGACGAAGACGCCTCGGAGGCTATGGAAACCCCCTTGACCTCGTCGAAATTGAGCTCCAACCCTAGCGCGTCGAAGTCACGGTCGACGTCCCCGGCGCCGTCGTCGTAGGTCCTCAAGAGCCCCTCGTAGGTGAGGCCCTTCTCTCCGTCGATGAACTCGCCGTAGGTACGGAAAACCTCGTCGAGAATGGCATTGATCTGCTCGTCGCTGAATTTAACCCTAGGGTTTACGGCCACCACAAGCGCCGCCATTTCCTCTCTGTTCAGCCCTCCGTCGTGGTTGGCGTCGAATTGCTGGAAAATCCTCTTCACCTTCTCTGATCTACTTCCTCTCGTCGCCATTGTTTTCTCTGTAAGCTTTCTAGGGTTTCGAGAATTAACGCAGGCAGATAAAGATTTTACAAAAAAGAAGATAATCTAACTTAAAATTCAAGTTACAAAATTGAAATTAAAAAAAAAATACAAGATGGGGAAGGGTATAAATTAATGGAACTTCGGGAAATGATTCAATTCCATTGAAGGATTTTGAAGTCCTGATGCTCAAATAATGTGGGTAAAGCTAGAGCTAAAGGGGTTTCCGTTTTGAGGTTTTTTTCTCAAGACTGTTGATTGGATCTGCTGGAAAAATTAAAAAGATTAGACGTTTACTTCGTTGATTTAAAATTTTAATTTAAATTAAAATATAATTTTATATAAATTTTTTTATTATAATAAAAAAATTAAATATAATTATTTTTAAAAGTTTTTATTATAATATAACTTGAATTTTAAATGAGGTTGAAAACTCTTCTTTTATTTTGTATTCTCTCTCTCCTTTTTTATTTTGTTATTTGTTTAATTTAATAAATTTTCTCTGGTTCTCATGGATCATGATGGGTGCCTGGCTGGTATATACATTTCATTTTTTATATCTTTATTTTTAAAAAATATACATATATTTTTTTTTTGTTGCTGGGACTTGGCAATTTTTTTTAAGGTCTGTTCGGTTCGTTAATTTAAATTTTTAATGTAAATTAAGATATAATATTGTGTAAAAATTTTTTATTGTAATAAAAAAATTAAATGTAATTATTTTTTAAAATTTTTTACTATAATAAAACTTAAATCAACGAAAAAAATAAACACAAGACTTTGACAATTTTGGCGGGGACCTAGTTTAGCTGTCAGATGACGTGTCAAGTATTCTGGATGTACAGTGCTTGATGTCTGTCATACATCTTACGTGTAGGTAAACATACTATTTATACTACTATGGCTAGTGGCTTTTGAAAAAGAAAGGGATTTCACTTTTGGCTCTGGACTATGTAACTTATCCCATTTTGGCCCTTAAATTTTTAAACGTGACAAATCACACCCTTGAATTTTTACAACTTATTCATTTTAGTCCTTCCATCACAAAAGCCGTTAAATCCTAACGGAATTAGACATGTGAGCCTCACATGGTCATTTAATAAAGGGTGTTTTGGACAATTCTTACTAATCACTTTTGTTTTGCCTTTTTCAACAAAACCTTGGAATTGCTCAAAAAATTACAGCCACTGCACTTAGGACCAAGGGATTATATAATCGATCATCAGAACTGAATTTTGCTCGTATTCTCTCATGAATTGAATTTGTTAGAAGTGAAAGTAATGGACCCTAATGTGAATATAAGCCTTCGTTTGTTGAGTAAAGGCTGAAACTTTTTATGTCAAAAGTTGCTTTTTTTGTCTTCTTTGTTTTTTTTTACGAAAAGAATTGAGGTTTTTTTTTTTTTTCTCTGTAAGAAAAAAATCAAGTGGATTTTGATTTTTGTGTGTTGGTAGTTTTGGAAATGTACATAAATTAGTGGGTTTTATGCTATAAATTAATTGGACTTAATTATGTTTTATACGAAAAAATACATAAAATCAGAGAATTAGTGATGTGAACATTTTATGCGTCTAAAAATGGGTTATAAATTAATACTTTACAGAGAATACAAATGTTGGAAATGATTGTGAAAGTGAAGAGGAAAACTATGTAGGCACAGACCATGAGCATATTGATGACGACCATCAATTTGATGTCAACATAGACCCTGCTTTGGAGTTTGGCGGTATTGATATACCATCACAACAAGCTGAGGAGATTGGTGATCAAGCTGATATGGAAGAAGACAATGATCTCCCTTTATCTGATGAAGACATCCCAAGTTGTTTTTTTCCCTGTTTTGTTTATGAGTTTTTTTTTTTTTTTTTTTTTTTTTTTTTTTTTCTTTAATCCACAAAATTCACACTCATAAAATAGAAAACATCTTAAAAAAATAAACAGAAAGACTAGTAAAGCTTATAAAATAGATATGGAGCTAACGGGCAAAGTTGTCATTTGACTAATTCCGTTAGGATTTAACGGTTTTTGTGGTGGGAGGGCTAAAATGAGATAAGTTGTATAGTTTAAAGGTGTGATCCGCTACGTTTCAAAATTCATGGACCAAAATGGGACAACTTGCATAGTTTTAGGGGCCAAAAGTGAAATTAACCCAAAAAGAAAAGAAGAAAATAAAAGAATTTTCTTTTTTTTTCAAAAAAAAAAAGAAAAAGAAAATATAAGTGAATCTTAAATTTTAAAGAGCGTGTAACCACATAGCTTAAGGGTCCGTTTATTACGAGAGTTTAAAGCATGATGTTTGAATTTTTAGATTTAAATTAAGAGTGTGTAACAAACCATTCAAACCAACCAAACTAAACCAAACTAAAAGAAAACCAAACCCAAACAAATTAATAATCAGTTTGGTTTGGTTTAAATTTTGAAAAAGCCAATTAAATTGGTTTGATTTTGTGGTTTTACCCTTAAAAAATCAAATCAAACCAATTTCTATCTATATAATTTTCCTAAATATATGTATTATATACTTTAGAAGAAAGAGAGAAAGAAACAAAAGAGTACACAAAATATTAATACAACTTATGGTTGAAACTTGAGAAGAGGTTGTAAAATATTTAGTTCACACCAATTAGAAAAACAAAACCAAACAAATTATAATCAGTTTGGTTTGAATTGGATTAGATCCCTTTATTAGTTTGGTTTGGTTTGAAAATCTCTAAACCAATTTGTAATTAGTTTGGTTTGTATTTCACCTAAAATAAGCGGTTTGGTTGGTTTGCACACCTCTAATTTGAATCATGAGTTAATGTGGTGTTTGAATTTAGGGTTTAAAGTTCAAACCATGAATCAAGTTTGAACATATAGTTCAAACCAGCTAAAATTAAGAGGAGGGTTGGTTTTGTTTTTTTACTTCAAATTGGTTAAAACATCACATTAAAATTTAAATCAGGTTTGAACTAAACATAGATTTTGTTAGATTAGGTTCAAACCATTTTTTTTTTAATTTTTATAAATAAACATTTGTTTAAACCAGAGTCAAACCATCAAAACCTTCATACCAAGGTTTTTGCTTAAACAAATAAAGGACATTTCATATTAGTATCTCATAGTTTAACGTAATTATTTTTTAGTATAATGTGTTTTTTAATAACTTTTAATTGGTACACTCACTTTTTAAAAAATCATTTTTTAGTACCTGGAATCCCTTTGTTCCCTTTGTTGAGAGGTAAAATGTCTTTGTTGCTTTTTATTAATTAATTAAAAACCAATAATTTTAAAATATTCTAAAAATATTGTTAAGCATTTAAAATCTTTAAAAAAAAAAACTTAAAATAAAAACCATTTTTTCGTCTCTCTCCCAACATTCTCTCTCTCTTCTAATCCTCTTTCTGCCTCCTCCCTCACTTTTAGTATTCCATTAAAAAAAATAAAAACAAAACAAAAAATAACAAAAAATAAAATCGGCATTTTCAACACTTGGACCTCGTTCAGTTCGCAGATTCAAATTTTTAATTTGAATTGAGATGTATTTTATGTGAGAGCTTTTCACTGTAACATAAAAAGTTTGATGTTACTTTTTGTGAGAGTTTTTAACTGTGACAAAACTAAAATTAAAAATTTAAATTGGTGAATTGAACGAGGCCTTAAATGCAACATTTCAATCAAAGACAATAAAACCACCAGATTTTTTTTTTTTTTGCTTATAGTAAAATCATCAGATTTATCTCACTAAAACAACTCCTAAACAAAAATTAAAAGTTTACTCTTCCAATAATCTTTGGCATTGTTTAGCTCAACAATTCAAACTGTTAATTTAATTAGAATTGTAGTGAGTTTAATTGTGATTGGAACTAGTGTTTGGATGCACAAATAAATTCTAATCTAAATTGGTTTCACTGTGTTTGGATAAAGTGTTGAAAACTATCATTAGAGTTTTGTAATAAATCTTATAAAATCTCATTATAAATGATATTAAAAATATGCAATATGGATGAAGATTTGTTCACCTCTTTATTATGAACACATTAAAAAAATAATCTCAATCAGAATTGAAATAAATAAGTTATGACATTTTAAGTTTGAGTTGAGGATAGAGAAAAAGTAAGATTCGCTTATTTTTACTGTAGAAAATAATTCGGATTGTTAGAATTTAAGATAGTGAATTCAAGGGTTAAACTATTGTTAATAATTTAAATTGTCATTCTACTTTAAATAATAATCTAAATTGAATTGTTAGGTTAGGATTGTTGAAACAAACAAGGCTTTTATCTCTTTCCTTGACAATGGTTACGTTTAGTAGTAATTTTTGAAGTCCAAAATAAATTCTCTAATCAGCAACGGCTGTCATTTGTGTTTGATAAAAACCTAAAAAAGTATTCCGAAAGAATTTTTGAAAAATTTAGGGCCAAAATAAGAGATTGTGAGGCAATCTTTTGTGCCACATTGATGAAACTTTCAATATTACCCATATTACACCTGCTGAATGAAAAAAAAATCTCATACCCAAATTTTCTCTTGGTTTCTCTCGAAGCTCTCTTTGTTCTCTCGGTCTCTCTCTCTCTCTCTCTCTCCGTGCTCTCTCTCTCTCTCTCTCTCTTCTCTCTCTCTCTCTCTTCTCTCTCTGTTCTCTCAGTCTCCCTCTGTGCTCGTCAGGGTTTCTGAACTCCTCTTGCGATTGTCGGATTTGCGGACTCTCTCCTCTCTCTTTGTTCTCTCGGTGGTGTGTGCTCATTAGGGTTTCCTGATCTCGTCATTGGGTTGTGAGATTGCCGGTTTGATCTTCTGGTCGATTCTCGGGTACTTTCTCTCCTTCCAAACACCTCCACGAATTTCCTTCTTTCATTTTCTTCTAGCTTTATTGTATTTTATTTAACTTTCTTTGGATTGGTATGATTTCGACCTCAGATAACTGTAAAAGAAGTGAATTTTATAGGTTTATAATTGAAATGTTTCGGACAATTATAACAATCCCTCGTGATATTTGCGCGGAATTCTTGTTGATTTTTTTTTCTATAATTTGCATAGGAGTCTGATTTGTCTGAAATTTTCGTTGGCATTTTCATATTTCCAGGTGTTTTTGATGAATTCAATTCTGAATTTCTGGTCGCAGATTTTTGGTCTTTAATGTTGGTCAAACATAGTCCTAATGACAAAGAAAATGTTTCCAATGGCAAAGATATACATCAAAATATGCAATTTATTTGTTGTAGTTATTCCACTGAAACTTTATACTAAGGATGGCCTTTGAAAATATGGTTGCACTGAGGCCTGAGCTCATAAAATTAATCATGGTTTGTGTGTGTGTGTGTGTGTCTGAATAGTCATAATATACTAATATGTTTAGTGTGTGTGTGTCTGAATAGTCATAATATACTTGTATGTTTAGCATCCAGAACATATTTTCAATCATAGTTTGTTTTTTGTTTTTTGTGTTTTTGTTTTCTTCTTGAAGTTTGTAACTCAGTTTCCCATTTTTGGTTTTCTTCAGGTAAGTTTCCTTGAGTAGACGATGCAGGGAGCCAAAGGTCCAATATTTGAGGATGGTCCCAGTTTTGATATGGCATTTAAAGTTTTTCATGGGAAGGATGGGGTTGTCCCGCTATTGATTCATAAATTGACTCAATTGAAAGTTTCACATCCCAAACAATCAATCGGAAAATAAATATTTGAAGAACATATGAATTAAAAATGTATTCGAGTAAATAAAATTCTAACGTTTAGAACTAGGAAAAATTATCGTATGAGAAATCTAAAAGCGATAATATACCGTTGGTAATATTGCAGTAAAAGACTATTCATAAAATAATACCTACCAATATATAATATCGTGCAACAATCACATAAAAAGAGCTTGACTAGATTTATATAAATGTTGACAATAAAATATATTGATAAGAGGAAGAAATATGATAAAAGAAAATTATTTACTCAAATGTATAAAACTTATAAACCATTAGAGAATCAAAATCCAAACAAGTTCACTACACATATAGGATCATCTCTAGCCTCACCCAAGTACTCTAGCCTAACTTGCACATAATTCTCACAAAATTCTAAAGAGAAAATATGAGAATAAGAGCAAGAAAATAAGAGGAAAAATGTCTAAACTTAAACTAAGAATCAACCACCTAAACACCTTGACATGACCCTATTTATAAAGTTTCTGGACCATGCCAAAGGTTACAATCAGTAACAAGAAGGAAGGGAACGTATTCCAATTAATTTGGAATTTACAATGCTTTATTTTATGAGTAAAGGTTGATAATGGTGGAGAAAAAAAAACATCAGAAACGCTTTAAACCAGAAAACTGAGGAGTGCAACAGCTAGTACACGTGGTGCGCTGAGGAGAAAGAAAAGTTACTGTGCTCGGACACGTGGCGGAAGCTGATTCGTGGAGAGGAAGAAGCTGCTGCACAGCTGGGCCTACGCGGAGGAAGACTTGACGTGCGCTTGAGAGAAACTCGCTCGGGGACGAAGTCATGCGCATCAAGTGCGCGTATGCGAGAGACCTTCTGGACCCCACTGGACGCATGGCGGGAGATGGTAGGAGGGTTGTTGAATGGTGGGACCCACGCGGAAGAAGAAAGGAAGCGTGCTTGACGCGCGCGTGAGAAGAACTCGCCCGGAGGGAACGGCTGTGGGCGCCAAGTGCGCGTATGCGCGGGGACAGCTGGGTCCCACGGACCTGTGACGCACCAGACGACGACACGTGGCAACGCGGGGAAGCTCACGAAGCTCGGCTCGGCTAGCTCGGCTGGATGACGGCTGGGCTGTTGATGGGCTACATTTTTTTTTTCTTTTAGATTTTGCCCAAATGTCTTTTTTCCCTCCAATTCCCTACAAAACAAATTAAATTAAATTAAAATCAAATACTTTCACAATAAATTAATTCTACGAAAATATTTAATTAAAACTTAATTTATTTAGCAATGATGAATAATTTAGGTGCATTTTCATGCACTTATCAACCCTTAAACAAAGGGAATTTCATATTACAGTTGGCTAGTTAATAATTCCTACAATCTCTCCAATTCAGTATTGTTGACAACTCACGCCAACAATATTGGTGTACAATCGATCGTTGGAAGAGCATGTTGCGCACTTAGAGATAGTGATGGCTGAACTCGCCCAGCACAGCTTATATGCCAATGCCAAAAAATGTTGTTTCGGGCATGCCACTTTGGAATACTTGGGCCATATCATTTCGAAAGACGGAGTGTTCGCGGATCAAACCAAGATCGCGGCCATGATTAACTGGCCAATACCTACTAATTTACGGGAGCTAAGGGCTTTTTTGGGTCTATCAGGCTACTACCAGAAGTTTGTTAAGGGGTATGGTTCCATTGCCTGGCCACTCACGAACTTGCTCAAGAAGGATAGTTTCTTGTGGTTGACAGAAGCAGAGAATGCTTTTCACAAACTCAAGGCAGCCATGACTTTAGTTCCCGTGCTGGCATTACCGAATTTCTCGCGTGAGTTTGTAGTGGAAACGGATGCATCAGGGGTAGGGGTTGGAGCGGTTCTGATGTAGGATCAACGCCTGATTGCCTTTTTTAGCTAAGCTCTGTACAACATAGCACGTCTTAAGTCTGTTTACGAGCGCGAGCTTTTGGCCATTGTACTAGTAGTCCAAAAGTGGCGGCCCTACCTCATCGGGAGGCATTTCACTATACGTACAGACCAACGCAGCCTTAAGTATCTGCTGGACCAGTGAGTAGTCAGCGAAAACCATCAACACTGGGTGTCCAAACTCCTAGGATTCGACTTTGAAATCCAATACCGCCCCGGATTGGAGAATAAGGCTGCAGATGCTCTCTCCCACATGCCTACATCGGCTGAATTCCAGCTCCTGTCAGCCTCTTTTGAGCTTGATTCGGAGGAGCTACTCCGACAAAACGAAGCGGATACCAAACTCTCTCGCATGATTGAGGAACTCCAAGCTGATTCGAGCGCTTACCTGGGATTCTCCTTGCAACAGGGGAGGCTCATGAAAGAATGACGACTTGTCATCTCACGAAACTCGCACCTGGTAGCTAATCTATTACAAACATATCATGACGAGGTGGCAGGAGGACATTCGGGCATACTCAAGACTTACCGGCGTTTGGCGGCAGACTGGTATTGGTTCAGTATGAAGAAGGACGTCGAGGCTTACGTGGCAAAGTGTTCCATCTGTCAGTAGAATAAATATGACACTTTAGTCCCAGGTGGATTATTGCAGCCCCTGCCCCTGCCGGACAAGGTGTGGGATGATTTCTCAATGGACTTTATTGAAGGGCTGCTCAAGTCAGCAGGTTATGATGCCATCCTAGTCGTGGTCAACCGCCTGAGCAAGTATGCTCATTTCATTTTGCTCAAACACCTGTTCACTGCGCCAGTGATGGCGGACGAGTTCCTTTGGGGAGTGGTAAGATTGCACAGTATTCCCTGCACTATTGTGTCTGACCATGACAGAATTTTTCTGAACAAATTCTAGACGGAGCTGTTCAAACATCAAGGCTCCACCTTGGCTCGGAGCACCGCCTATCACCCCTAAACGGACGGACAAACAGAGGTCGTTAACCGTTGTCTTAAGACCTACCTACGGTGTTTTTCTTCGGATGCGCCACGCCAATGGTCGAAGTGGCTATCATGGGCTGAATACTGGTATAATACTTCTTTCCACACCGCCACTCGAATGACCCCTTTTCGCACACTCTACGGCTGTGATCCCCCTCCACTGGTCGTTATGGGCTAGGGCTATCTCCGGTGGCCACAGTAGACCAGCAGCTAGCATATCGGGATGCTACCTTGAACTTACTGAAGCATCAACTACAGCGGGCGCATCAAAAGATGAAAGCACAGGCGGATGGTTCTCACTGGGATGTTACATTTGAGGTAGGGAACTTGGTGTACCTCAAACTCTGCATTTCCTCCAGTTTTGACAATTTGAATCAATCCATTACAGAGTTTTCTTTCCAATTACGTGCTTGCTAAGTTTTTGTTCTACTTGATACTTGAGTCTTAACAAGTACATTGCAGAGTCCTCTGCGACACAGTTTGAGTTGGCCTTTCGAGTTTGAGAGGCGAACGTCAAGAAATAATTGAACTTTGGGATGCATGTTATGTACCCTTAGTTCACAGAACTTACTTTTTCCTTCTTTTCAAAGGTGAACCTTCGGATTTTGTGTACCTTAAAGTAGAGCTGAGAAGGTTGTCCTTTCTCAAGGAGACATTTTGTCTTGGAAGCAATGTAAAGAAAGACAGTCAAATTGCCACCCCAGCTTCAAGGTAATCACTCTCTTTTATCTCAGATATTTCATCCAAGACACGGACACGACACAAAGTCTCACATTTGGTAAGTTTTATCCTTTCTAAAAGTTTTTATTTTTGAATAATGAAACAGTTTGAAGATCCTCAATCGCGAGAGAGAAATGTTAAGCAAGCAAGTGCACAAGAAGCATACGCGAAAGGCTTTTATGCTCAACACAAAACAGAGAAGTTTGCAGGTAGCTCGGCACCTATGGACAAACACAAAAGACGTTGAACACTCGAGGGAATGTGCTGTTCTCACTGCGAAGTTGATTGGGTTTGTTGAGCCAGGTCAGGTCCCAAAGGAGATATTTGGACTCAGCTTCTCACCCCAACCCATCAACCGGAAACCCTTTGTTTGGAGACAGCATGTCTTCTCTATCATCAATTTCTAGAGAGAAAGGAATATTTTTTTTATTTCAAGGTCTCTCCTTTTGTTCAACTTCTATTTCTCAGTTATTCTCTGGCATCCACTTGTGGTTAAAGATTCTGATTGTACATTAAAGTATTAACGAGTATGAACAATTTCTGAATTGATTACTTGAGATTTATCCATGTTGGAGCATATCTTTTGAGTACAAATTGAATATGAGAACATGAAGAATCTGAAACCGTCAAGTGAACGATTAGGCACCAGACCACGTGAAATGACATCTTACGGCAACCAGGAAAAGACTTGAATAACGAATTTTGACAATATTGGTCGGAAACCAGGAATACTCTGGATGAAATTACATGGGGGTAAAATGCGGTTGACAAATTCCAACATTTTGAATAAGGCATATACACACATTCAACATTTTACAAATAATGGCATTATGATTCTAGAACAGCTCCTTCAGTAATCTTCCACCCGGAACTGGAACTAGACATTTCGTATCTCGTTGTGTATGTTCTGGTGTTCGAGTCATCATGCTCCGGGTGGAGCAAATCAGTTAGCTGCGTGGACTCTTCAATAGTTGCTTCCACCACAGCGCGCTGCCCATCCAGTGAGACGGTTACACTGTCAATTGTCAGGTTCAAAAGAGAGTAATCATAGAACCAACCAAGTTGTGCAATCTCGGAGGCGCGATCTGTCCATATCTTCAACATTCTACCGTCCAGAACCTGGTACAGTATTTAGATGGAAGGCTCTGGTTACTCGGGTAGCTTAAACAGCCCAAGACGATCCCACAAAAACTGAAGAAGAATTCCAGTTACCAGATAAAAAGGAACTTGCATACCTCTGCAAATTTTCCTATACAATGATAGGGCCCAAACGCTTGAGATTTGATATTCTGCCATTTACGAACTAGACCTTCAGCAATTCTTGCATCCATCTTGGGTAATTCCTCAGCAGATTCATTAACTCCTGACAGCCCTGCACGGTTAAAGTAGCAATTTAAGCTGCAAAATGAGCCAACAACATTATGTTCAAGTCTTTCTTTGACAAGTCATGGTTTAAAATAAGGTCAATCATACCTAAACTGAGAGCATCAGATGCCGTCACTGAACCTAATTCTTTGCGAATAGTGCTACTTCTAGCAGGTAAAAACCTCAAGCCAACCAAAGTCAACATTCCAATCACCACACTAGCACACATGAGCTTCACGCTTGCATCTTTAATATTGTCTGTAATCAATCCCACTTCACGTACTTCATCAGATTGATCATTTCCAGAAATCTCCGTCACATGTGAAGAATCATCTTGACCAGGTTTTTCAAGAGGGTATTCTTCGCTTTCTGAAGGGAGAAGGAAATGACTCATCTCGCCATCCTCTTGATGTGCTAAATTCTTGTCCCTGTCACCCAGAGGAAACACCTTCTGCAATGCGAGAATTGCACTGGACTTTACATGATCAAGAACTGCTGTAGCGCCTGCCCCAATCCTAACTATCGCTGCTGCGGCAGCTAAAGGTGAACCATTAGCTCCATCCAACCTCTCTAAATATCTAAGGACTGTAGGATCATCATAGTAATCACCAAGTTTGAACCATATGTCTTTGGTGTCTCTGAATCTTGGAAACACCACCTCCATCAACCAGGTCTCCAATAGCTTACAAAGCCCAGGGAGATCACTGTCACCATCATCTTTAGAATTCTCCAAGACAAATTCCACAATAGATGGATTTCTGTACGGTGAATTTTCACTGTCTAACCCCAAAAATAATCGACAATCATCAAGCTCCCCTACAAGCAGGGAACAGAGGCCTCTCTCTAAAGCGAAGTCTACCTCTCGGTTTTCTTTGGGGGCACATACATTGAAAGCAGTTCCAAGGGACGATACCTTTGTCTGCTGTAGTTGTTGAAATAGGTTATCCGCATCTTGGATGAGATGAGGTTTTTTACCAACAAAAGCCCTAGCAACAAGGGCAAGTGCCACGCCATACACTTCAAAACTTTCGGCCGGGATGTTGCTTGGTGTGGCTACGAATAGATCAACCTTTGCAGCAGAAAATGAAACCAAAAAGAGAAATCATGATATAGCAAGAAAAAAACTGAGCTGAAAACCAGAGGAAAATGTGAAGGAATAAACTAAAAAGCTACCTGCTCAGCTGCTGTCATACGTATGAAGGCCTCATTCATGAAATTCTCCCGGGTGAATCCCCCAGCTATAGCAGCTGCCCCCCCTCCTCCAACAGCCCACAAAATATTGCGCACACTGCGAAGGCCCTCTTCCCTTTTCGATCGATACTCATCATTTAGTGGTAATGCTAGAAGCTCTAAAACGCAGCGAGGGGTAATCTCTTCCAGTGTCTCATCAATTTGAGCTTGTAGATCAGGCGCAAGGCTACTGGCCCCTTCCTCCTGCACACACATCAAGTGTTCATCTTGTTTAGGATAAAATAAAAGCAGCCTAGAAACCATTATATAATTGTACAATGCAAAATGTTAGAGGCTAACGTTCGCAGCAGTTGTTACGTTAAAAGAAGACTGACCGGTCATGCTTACAAGATATAAGAAAATTACTCCTTTACAATTGCACGCCTAAGATCAGATATATAGAGATCATGGGTACTCTGAACTTGTACTGAGAATAAAGAAAGAAACTGTGTTTCTTTTTTGAATAAAAGAGATTCGTAATTTACCCATAGCTATGATTCAGAAAGAGTTGAGTTGCACTTGCACCATAGTCTTACCTGCAAGAGCTTCAAAGCCCTCTCGAGAACTTCGCAACCCCTAATAAAATCAGGAGGGGACAGAGCCATGGCGTCCCTAGACATGTCAACGTAAGCGAGTGCCATTGCCAAAACAACATCTTGTTTGAACGACTTGGGCAACCTCTCTCTAAGCAAACTCTCCCCAATTTGAAGAACCACCTCAGTTTTTCCCGCTTCTTGTAACACGCACAAAGCTCCTGGAACCTACAAAGCAACAAAACACTAATCCCGTCAGTCAACGGAGCTGAATTCAACTGATGAAAAACCAATTTTCAGAATCCCAATCAGGCCAAGAAATCAAAGCCATGTGAGTTTAATTAGATAGAGACCTTGTCCCATGGGACTTGGGTGAGGACCGTGCCCTCTTCGTCTTCAACGAGGCTCTGATTGTACTCTCGCCGCAAGCTCGCGCTGACAAGGGTTTCGCAGGCAGCCATGAGGATCTGTCTCCGGCTGAGCAAGGCGTCTTGGCTGAAGCCATACTGAGGCGGCTTCGAGACCCTAGCCTCGTAAGCCCTCCTGATGCCGTCGCCAAGGAAGTGCGTTTCGGCGCCGAGGACCTGATAGAAGTCGAGGGGGATGGACACTTTGCGCTCGGTGGGAGCGAGTGGAGGAGCGAGAGTGGCGGTGGCGGAGGAGGAGGAGGAAGGATCACCGACGAAGTTGAAGTCGGCGAGGAGGCGGTCGGCCCATTTGCTAGCGGAGCAGGTGACAGCGCGGGAGACGGCGGCGGCGGCGGAGGGGTGAAGCTTCTGGAAGGTTCTATGGGAGAGAAATGGGGAGATGCGAAGAGTGGGGAAGCCAATGCTCAATTGTCTCAAGGTTTCCATTATTCAATTGCGTGAGCTTAAGCCTCTCTTGCTGCCCTTTGCTAGGTTGGGGTTTTCAGTTTTCTATTGGAGGAAGCAAAAAAAAAAAAAAAAACACTAGTGGCCTGTTTATTACTGTTTTTAATCTCATTTTTCACGTTTTTTAAAGTAAAAAATTGAATACGGTACTAAAAAATGCGTTTGGCGAAGTTTGTTTTTAAAAAATAAAAATAAAATTGTTTTTATTGTTTTGTGAAATTCAGAAAACGAAAAAAACATGTTTTCATTTTCTGGTTTTCATTTTCGTTTTCCTTCTTTCTTCCTTTCTCATTTTTTCTGTCCTTCTTCCGCCGAGCCCTTCTTCCCGGCCGAGCCCCGCCGTTCTTCTCGTCCGTTTCGCCTGACTTGCGCCGTTTGCTTCTCACCCAAGCTCCTCCGTTCTGTTCTCGCCTGAGCTCCTCCGGTCTCTTCTTCCCCGATCTGCCTCGTTCTCATCTTGTTGTTTTCTCACCGAGGTATGCCCCTAGCCAAAAATGTTTGATGGTTTTCCATTTGTTTTGGTTGAGCATTTCTTTCTGATTTTTTTTTTCGTTTTGGCCCCGTTCTCGTCTCACCGTTTGATTTGCTATATTTAACCAAATCGGTTGATAGTTTTCCATTTGATTTGGTGTTGTTTTGTTTCTAATTTTGATATGCTTGATCTGATTTGGTGATTTTTTTTTCCGTTTCTTTCCCCTGGAGGCCCCCGTTGGGGCTGTATCAGCCCCTGGGAGGCCCCCCCGTTGGGGCTGAATCACCCCCTGGGGGCCTCCCATTGGGGTTGGCCTGGGAGGCCCCCAATGGGGGTTGATAATCAGCCCCAATGGGGGCTGATAATATCAGCCCTGATGGGGGCAGATAATCAGCCCCCATCAGCCCTAATGGGGGCTGATAATCAGCCCTGATGGGGGCTGATAATTAGCCCTGACGGGGGTTGATAATCAGCCCCCATCAGCCCCAATGGGGGTAATCAGCCCCAATGGGGGCTGATTATCAGCCTTGATGGGGGCTGATAATCAGCCCCCATCAGCCCCAATGGGGGCCTCCCAGGGGCTGATTCAGCCCCAATGGGAGGCCCCTATTGGGGCTGTATCAGCCCCTGCGTGTGTGTGTGTGTGTATATACTTTACAAATTGACATTTATTTTAATGATGAAAGTGTTATTTTAGATGTGTGATAAGGACGATAATACGAAATGGACGGCCGTAATTGAGGATTTTTATGTAGAACTGATATACGAAGAGTTAAAGACTGGGATGCAAACATCCACTCTAGACAAAAAAAATGTGGATGAAAATTGCTAATGAAATAGCACTTAAGTTTGATAAGCATTTCACATCAGACCAGCTTAAAGCAAAGTGGAATAGGCTTAGACGTAGCACGAGGGAGTTTAAGGCATTAATTAAAACAATAGGGTTTGGTTGGGATTATGAGGCTAACACTGTCACAGCTGAAAAGAAGTATGAGATTCATATGTGGCAGTAAGTTTTGAGCATTAACATCTTATGTTATATGAAAGAGTTGAATTGATTTTTGGATTGCACATGAGTATTTACTCTTATTTTCTTTATAATGTCAGAAACATCCTGAGGTGAAGAAATTCAAGAAAGGGGGTTTGCAGAACTTTGCCCAACTTTCACAGATTTTTTTTGGGACTATTGCTACTGGACAGGGGTCAATGAATGCACATACTGCCATTAATGTTTTGAATGCGGCGAAAAGGGCTGCCACACAACTGGAAGTGGAGGAGGAGGATACATGGGACTCGGATGAAGTCTGGGGTGCATAAGACAATAGAAATAGACGATCTCAGGGTCCTACTACTCGATCCAAGAAGAAGGGCAAGAACAATACTGCAGTTGACGCAGCTATAGAGGCTTTGGCAAAGAGTGTTACCCTACGTAGTAAGACATATGTTCAAAAGGTTGATTTGTTTCAGCAATATTTAGCTGATAGGCAAGCTCGTACTATGGCATTAGCTGAGGCTTAGAAAGATGATCCAACTACAAGTATTGAAACCTGTATGGATTTACTGAATGGGTATGGGGAGTATTTAGACGACAATGCGTATACTAAGGCAGCGCACCAGTTGGCGGTTGACATTTCCCTTAGGAGGATGTTTGTGAAAATGCCCGCTTGTCGTCATCTTTCATGGATTCGAGGCCTGTAGTTTAAATGATTATTGTGTTATTTTCTTTATTTGTTTCCTCTCAAACGTATGTTTTTTTTTTAAGTATTGTTGAGCATGTACAACAGATTTTCCTCTTGGACTTGTGTTTGTTAGACTTTGTTATTTGTTTTTAGTCGGATTGAATTACATTGCAGTTCTTCGTTTGATTAGTTAATGTTATATGGATGTTTGATTAGTTCCAGTCTTGGTTCATTTTTTAGGTTAATATGGGTTCAGATTGTGAGAATGATGCCAGAGCTGTTGACTTTCTCCAGTCATCAGATGATGATGAACAACCACAACATTATATCCAATTATTGATGTCGATTGGAAACAGACAAACTAGACAACCTCGTCGTAATTCTGCGTTAATAGGACGAGAATATGTTTTAGAATAATTACATGGACATCTTGAAAATTTATTTGAAATGTGTCGTATGCATTGAGACACGTTCGAAGCAATTGTTCAGTAATTCGAGGCCGCAATCTACTACCTTCTTCAAGTATTTCAGCAGAAGAATCTCTAATGATGTTCTTAAGAACGGTTGCTCACTCAGATCGCAATAGAGAGATACAAGATAGATTTTGTCATTATGGAGAGACAGTACACCGGCATTTTGATAATATGCTTACCGCATTGTCTACGTTAGCACCTTAAGTTATAAAACTACCAAATATGAACATTGTCCCCCTAGAGATTCAACACAACCTTAAGTACTGGCCATGGTTTAAGGTACAATCTGACTCTGCTCATATACTACTAATATGATAAATATTTTAAATTAATCGCAACTCACGCCTTATGTATTTTAATAGGATTGTATTGATGCAATAGACAGTACACACATGATGGTTGTCCCACCTGCACATTAACAGACAGTCTATAGAGGAAGAAGACATTCGTGCACTCAAAATGTAATGGCGGCGTGTAGTTTTGATATGCTATTCACTTATGTCAATACCGGATGGGAAGGATCAACTGCTGATTCCAGAGTGTTAACTGAGACTATGAGAGATCCAGATGACTCATTCTTGGCGCCACACCCCCCCCCAAAATATTACGTTGTGGATTCCCGTTACAGCAACACGCAAGGCTTTTTGGAACCATTTCGTGGTCAGAGGTACCATATTCAACAGTTTAGAAATGGTGGTCAACTAACGGGATCACAAGAGTTATTCAATTATTATCACTCTTCACTGTGTAATTGCATAGAGAGGTGCTTTGGGGTCTTGAAAGCAAGGTTTAAAATTCTTAGGCATATGACCAATTATTAGATGCCAAGACAAAATGTTATACCAATAGCTTGTTGTGTGATCCACAATTTAATTAAGATGCACGCGCGAAATGATCCTCTATTTAGACAATATAAGGTCGATTTGCCCGTAGAAGATATTGAGGGAGAACAAGAAGGGCAACAGGAACAACAACATGGTATGGATGCATAAGAAGCATAAACATCTGAAATGGGTGGTCGGCAACAACGTAATTACATGATTAATTTTAGGGATCATCTAGCTAATCAAATGTGGGATTCATATAGGCGACAATAATTTAAGCTAATATTGCAATTTTCATATTTTATTAATTATTAGTGTTTTTATTTGTGATTCAATTATTATTTATTTAATATTAAATACTATTACATGTTTTCAAAAATGAAACCACCAAACGCAGTTTTAGTTTTTTTAAAAACTGAAATCAATCTCTAAATAAAACTACCAAATGCATTTTCAGAAATAATCAAAAATGAAAATGAAAACGTTTTCATTTCCATTTTCGTACAAAAAATAAAAACGTTTTGGAACCAATTTCAAACGCACCCTAGAGCATTTCCAACATTTCATCATATATATTTTGAAAATGATATTGATTGTATTTTCGTTGTAGTCTGCATGGTTAGGATATTCAACTTTCACCTGAAACCCGAGTTCGAGTCCGGCAACCGAACATTTTCACTTTAAAACTTGATTATTTGATTTAGGGATGGTAATTTGTGTTAAAATGTTTATTAATCGTGTCAAAAAATATTAATTTAAATAATAATTAATTTATTAATTATGTCAATTTGTATACATGATTTATTTATTAATTTTAAGGAGAAAGAGAAAAATAAGTCAAGACTTGAGATGAATTAAAATTAATAGGCCAATAGTTTACATAAGTTAATAAATATGTTAAATTATTGTTTTCGTCCATAACTCGTCTGGTTATGAACCATAACTTGACAAGTTATTGTCCATAATTTGTCTGGCTATTAACCATAACTTGACAAATTTATTCATAACTTATCTGGTTATGAACTATAACTTAACAAGTTATGGCCTATTAATTTCTATAACTAAAAATTGGCCTATATACTTTCTTAAACTTTTCATATTGGCCTATTTTCTATTATTTTCCTTAATTTTATCAATCATAACATGTTTATTGACTAATTCATTTTTTTTAAATGAATTTTACTTATAAATATTAGAATTTATATTATTTATATTTAATATGTTATATAAACATTCATGTTATATCACATATTATTAAATTGCATATGACACATATTATTAATAGTGTCAATTCGTGTCATTTTGTATTAGGAGGTCAACCTTAAGCCAATCTGTTTATTAATTGTGTTAATCGTGTCAACCCGATTATAGCCTAAACTAATTTATAATAAACTCAAAACAACTAACTTTGTGCGTATTTCAAGTCGTGTTTCGTGTCATGACACAAATTACCACTCCTAATTTGATTCATCTATATATTATTTTTCCTTTTTTCCTGTTTAATGCAACTAACGCAGCAAAACAACATTGTTTTGCTTATTTTGCTGCTATATTCATTTTTTAAGTAAAACATATGGGGCTTGTTCATTTACG